GTTGGCTTTCAATTTTCTGCCTGGCTCCTTTTAAATTTTTTTTTTTTTTTTTTTTTTTTGAAGGACGTCAGATAGGAGGTTTCCAATATTGCCACCCATTAGGCAAATATCGACCAATATTTGCTCTTTGCATTGGAACTGAAAATCTGGAAGAGCCCACAGGTTTTCTTCCATATTTCCAATGAGGGTGGAGTACCACATCCATATAGCTCCATGGAAATCACCAGAATTCCCTTCATTTCAATTCTGTGTAGAACCTGAGGAAGGAGTTTAAGATGGAGGAAGGCACTGATCAAGTTGTACTGATCCAATGGAATCACCACTGCATCCACCAGAGGTTATACAAAAAGAAAAAGTGCCATAAGTTAGGGGTGTATCCACCCATCAAAAAGCATTTCCCCGACTCACCATAAATGAGGTATGGATTCTAAACTTAAAAGCTTATATGAAAAAGTTAGCAGCTGACAAGAGCAGACCTGCCAAAAAAGACAGTATATTATGAATCCTATGCGGAGTAATTATTCACTATAAATAGTGGGTGCAAATATTTTTATTGAGATCAATTAGATCATGAAAAGGTAGGCATTTGAATCATGGTGAACACATTATCAATCATGAAAAATAAAATCAATAAACAAAAACAAAAAAAATGTTCTGCGTTTTCACTTAGCTGCATCTGTGGCTGGGAAGGGAGTTTAGATTTCTTAATCTTTGTCTTCTATCTTTGAAGTGTCAAAAATTTCCTTCAAATGTTCATGAAAGTGAAATGATGAAAGATGAGTGATGAAACTCCTGAAGAATAGATACGCGATGAGTAAAGAATCTTGGAATAGATGTTATAGGCATGCGTTATCATCTTACAACATCAAGCTTCACTCCTAATGCAAAAACATGGCTTCTAAAGGAGGAATATGACATTATAATCAGTATTACCTTCTTTGCAATTCATCATCATCACATAGGTTGGTTAAGAAAATTGCATTGTGTATGGCCAGTTTCAGTCAGCCTACACAATGCAATTTTCTTAACCAACCTATGTGATGATGATGAATTGCAAAGAAGGTAATACTGATTATAATGTCATATTCCTCCTTTAGAAGCCATGTTTTTGTTTTAGGGGTAAAGCTTGATGTTGTAAGATAACACATGCCTGTAGCATCTATTCCAAGATTCTTTACTCATCACGTATCTATTCAAGAGTTTCATCACTCATCTTTCATCATTTCATTTTGATGAAGATTTGAAGGAAATTTTTGACACTTCAAAGATAGAAGACAAAGATTAAGAAATCTAAACTCTGAAGATTTACCTAAATTTGGATTCAAGTGTTATGGACTTCCTACACCTATTTATAGAAGATGTTTTTGCCCAATGCCAAGTTTGACCTTCCCAGCCATAGATGCATCTTAGTGAAAATGCAGAATGTTTTTTTGTTTTTATTTATTGATTTTATTTTTCATGATTGATAATGTGTTCACCATGATTCAAATGCCTACCTTTTCATGATCTAATTGATCTCAATAAAAATATTTGCATCCACTATTTATAGTGAATAATTACTCCGCATAGTATTCATAATATACCGTCTTTTTTGGCAGGTCTGCTCTTGTCAGCTGCTAACTTTTTCTTATCCACCAGAGGTTACCTGGGTGCAAACCCATCCAGTTTGTTGTTAAAATCTAGAGGCTGGGAGGTCCACATTAGCATTCCCCACCTGTTACGCAGGTCATGGAACACATCCTGGTGTAGGGCCATTCCCCAGGGTCAGGGGTGTTAATTGAATATCTGTGCCTGAAAAGTTGATGGTCCTTAAGGCTTGAAAGTAAGTACCCTCAGTTGGACTGCTTTGGGGTGTCCTAATGGTTTCAGATTGAACTGATCCTGTGTTCCTTGATGAAGTGAGCGTGATTTTTGTACTCTTCGAAGTTCATTACAGGACACAGGTCCCATCACTCTGTGTATACAATATACTCCTAATACTGCTTTTCTTAAAACTGAAGAGGTGTTGTTTTCTATGTTCCCCATCCCTCAGTTGGACTGCTTTGGAATGTCCTAATGGTCTCAGATTGAAGTGATCCTGTGCCCCTTGATGAAGGAGTAAGAAAGCGTGATTTATGTACTCATTGAAGTTCACCATGGTACACAGGTCCCACACCTCTATGTATACAATATACTCCTCTACTGCTTTTCTTAAAACGGAAGCATTGTGTGAGCAGGAGGAACTATATTTGGCTTGTCAATGTCTTTTTTTTTTTTTTTTTTTACTGGTGTCCCTTGATGAATGATTAAAAAAACCTCTATTTTTCACTTGCTCTTTGAAAGAAAAATCTACTTTGTATGGATCCTAATGTCTTAAGTGTTCTGAAAATATAGGTTATAAGATGGTTTATGTACAGGAAACAATACTTAGCATTCCAGAAGATATATAAGATATATTACTTTGGAAGTACTGTTGCCCTCAATCCAAGTGAATATGATTGTTGTCATAGAATTGTATAAACTGTTGCAGGTAAAAGGAGGCTGTACATCAGGCCAGTTATAACTTCACCAATACCCTGTAGCCAACTGTATGTCGTGAAAGAATCACTCAGCCAAGCTGTATTCTCCTGACCAATCACTATTTTCCCCTGAAGTAAGCAGGTAATAGTCTATCAGTGCTCTTCATCCTTAAAAACATGAGGGTGATCCATGTCAATGAAAATAAGTTGTTACATCATATCCAGCCATCATTCCGTGTCTATTCCACACATAAGCCCCTTGACATATAACAAAGACTGGTCTGCTATGTCAGAGATTTTTAAGGCATACTTCAGTCAAAAAGCTTTGAAATGCAGAATTCACAGCCTGCCTCTTACATTGTATTCACTTGGACTTAGCTGTAGTACACCAGATCATCACACCGCTTAACTATTTGAATTCCAGCCTGTAACACCCCTTGATCACCAGGCCATTTTTTTTCAGTTTTCAGTGCTGTGATACTTTGACAAATTATCCGTCTGCAACAGTGCACCAAGATGAATTTTATATCATAATTTAGACAGAGCTTTCTTTTGGTTTTATTTAGCAACTGCCATTGTTGCAACAGTGCACCAAGATGAATTTAATTTATTTCTTTTGGTTTTATCATAATTTTTTTAGACAGAGCTTTCTTTTGGTTTTATTTAGCAACTGCCATTGTTGCAACAGTTGTTGTTTCTTTTGTTTTATTTAGCAACTGCCATTGTTGTTTGTGTTTTTGTTTTTTTTTACACAGGATCTTTTTGCCAGCAAGACCCCATGTATAAGTATTGGTAAATTATGATGTCCATGTGCAAGAGGCCTTAATGGTTTGATGTAGGGCCCTTTCTTTCTGTTTTGAAACATTAGCTTGTGTTAATTGTTAAGCTACCCATAACCATGAGATGGAAGTTATCTAGTGTAGGTGGTGGTTGTAGATTAGACAGGTTAGAAAATCGTACAGCAGGAAACAAAACCTGTAAATTTGTAATGGATTATATGCTCTTCTTTGGGTCCTGAGTTCAGCTTTTACCAAATAACCAGAGGAGTGGTGACTCCTAGAGGCCAGAATAAAGTTGTCTGCACAATTTGTATTTTCAATATGTGGGAGACTTGAGATGTTTGTTTTTTTTCCATTAATGTAGTATGTTAATATAGTACTACCATAACATTTTCTGGGTTGTGGTGTCACTTTATAGGTAGTTCAGCACATATTTTGATTTTCACAGTTAAAAATATGCTTTATTAAAGCTGAAGTCCAAGCAGGTATAAGAAAAAAAAAACATGCTTTTACAGGAACAGTCAATTTTTGTTACTTATTGTTCCAACATGCCAAATATCTGCCTTTACTTGTATATTAATATTTTGCTGTATGTTTCTTGTGTGGCAGTGGCTTTGCCTACTTTTAGAACACTTCTGTTACAAGAGATGCCATTCTAAACTGAGAGTACAGAATTAAAAAGGTGGCTTTCACACAGGGACAAGGTCCTTAGCCTTGTGTATGGTGACCCAGAGCTTACACAGGGTGTTTTGGGTGGGGCTGTGACAAGTGAAGGGCACCTGTGAAATGCAGGCAGTGCACAGAGTACTGGTGCACTTTAACTAGGTGAAATTATTTTCTGGGGTGTTCAGCTGTAGAGAGATTAACTTTTTATGACCCTCTGAAGTCTTTGTGGCCTTTTTAAATGTATTACTTTTAATTTGCAGAGGGCTGCAATTGGAAATACCTGTTCTGAACTTGCCAGCTTGTTAACATAACTTGGTATCAGGACCAGGGAATTAATTTGCATAAATAATACTTATATGACCATTTTTTCAGGTCTTGAGATGCAAGGATCTCTAAAACCCAATGTTGTATAGGCCTAAACATCATGTTTTAATCGCAGTATTGGCAGAGCAAAAATACTAATAAACTTTCTGTTTTTGGAGTACATGCTGGTGACCCACTTTTTCAACGGGATACTTTTTAAAGATGACTCTGCTTTTAGTAAAATTAATACAGTCCATTCTCACTGAGTTAACTTGCATTAAGTACACTGAAAATGAATTTATAGTGATTGGGTCAGTTTAATATGTTTAATGCAACATAATATCCATGGTAACAGCAGAAATCCTGTTTTACTGATAGGGAAGGGCCAGCGCAGTGCACATATAAACTTGTATATTGGGGAAATTGCTAATCTATAAATATCCTGACTGAGCAAGTTTCCAATTGTGTAACGTAATGTTTTTCATCCATGTTATCTTTTCATTAGTTTTCAGTTTTATATTTCCTTATAGTAAGCATGGATTATAGCAAGAATACAGCTTCATTACATAGCATAGAGAGACTTCTGTTACACAGTTAATGTTACAGTTGTCCTCCTTTTAATCTCTAAGATCTCTGGCTATCTTTAGGCAAAGTATTCATTTTTGATTCGTAGTAATATTACCCCAACCGATACACCAACTAATCGTTTTATGTTTTTTCTTTTCCATTTTTTATTGTTGCTCTGTTGATTCAGGTTAAGCGTGCTCTTGTTTTACCCACTGAGAGAAAAGTGTGTGGGTCAGAGGTAAAGCTCATGCCTATATCATGCTCTGGCCAGCTACGTATACAACATTGCATTGTGCTATCCATCCCTGGCTTTTTATTTCTTATAGCCCTTGCAAAATGTTGTCAAAAATTATGATGGCTGTGTTAATGCTTTTTGGCCTGCAAGCTATCATTACACATAGTTGAATCCTTGAATGAAGTTGCTAATGCAAGGAATGACTGGCTTATTTGGGCTTCAAGATTGGTTTAGTTACTTCTTTATTTGGACAAAAAACCGTGCATGTTCCATTTAATACTTGCAAAATGCTGGAGAGGCCTAAAATGCATGTTCGAAAAAAATATATACATTGTGAATTGGAGTCGCCTTGACTACTGTTTTCGAAGGAATCTGCTAGAATGTTCTGCTAATGGATTCATGAACATTTTAGAATATAAAATCTTATAGCTGGGGCACAACCCTAGCATAAATAACTCTGTTTCAGGCTACTATAAATCACTGTTTCCCTTAAGTTCAGCATTTTGGACATAATGTCTGGCTCTTGGTTGATGAGCACTTTGACAAAGGCTTTATAAAACAGAATTATTAAAGGTCATTCCCACCCAATCCTGTTTATCAGTTGGTGCATTGGAAAAGTTGAAAGGCATTCTTGTTGGCAGTTCTGATTCTGCTGCAGTCATGTCAGTTAGACGAACATTTGACTGACGCCCTGTGGACTCATTAGTACGCACCTGAAAATGTTTGAATTTTAACTCTTTTGTTTCAGAGGTTAGATGAAAGCATGTTGAAGCATGTGTAGCAAAAAAATCTTTTTTTAAGGACCTGTAAAATTCATAAGAAAATTACTGTTAGGGAAATTTCCTTTCATTTTCTGTGCTAGAGACACAACAGACAGTTTGAGCAAATCTCCGAAGGGAGGGAAGTTCCCTTCTCAGAGGCTTGCCACTTTAAAAAGGTGCCCCCAAGATAAAGGGCTCGTTTACACCTGTGTGACAAGATGAATTTGTTTTTTTATTTGGAATACTGTTCTAGTGCAGGAGGAGCCTTGGGAGGCTTGTAAAAACATGACTCAACCTTTTATTTTTATCCCCATCCAACTGCAAGTAAAAACGAAGGCTGGCCATACATGGGTCAGTTTTTTTTGTTCAACCAGCGGGTTGAATGAAATAAAATTACTCAATTCCCCCATCCACACTTTTCCACTCACACTGCGTTTTTGTATTCTGACAGTGGGGAGACTCCCCCACTGTCAGCATACACAGATCAGTGCTGCAGCCTATTGCCTATGGCACTGATCAAGTGGCTTTTATCCAAATGGCAGATCGACTTCTGTTCAGCCGCAGTGGCCACAAATGGATCAGAATTTGGTCAGTCGCTGCTGAACTGGACAAATTTCGACCCATGTATGGGGACTTTAAAGTGTTACTAAACCCAGGTCCTGCATTCAGCTAAATACCTTTTCTCAGCAGTTAGAACAGCCTTGTGACTTCCATCATTGTCCAGCAGAGCACTGGTCAATCTTGTAGAAGGAGTTTTCATTCTTTTCTGACTGTCCTATGAGGCTGCATAACCCCTGACCAGGCCTGCACTGGGACAAAAAATAGGCCCGGGCATTTTAGACTGAGCAGCCCCAAGCCCAGGGCCCCTTTCCTCAGAGCCTGGTGGTGGAACGCCAGGGCCCAGCCATAAGAGCGACCATTGCGACCCTGGTAGTTCCGCCACTAGTGTCAGTAGGTTTTTATTTTATTTTTTTTATTATTTTTTACATTTGGGGGGTGTTGGGGGGGCTTTGGTGAGAGGGAAAGACAGGAAGGAAGGGGAGACAGGGAGAAAGAAAGAAGGAAGGAAAGAGAAGGAAGGGGAGACAGAAGGAAAGAGAGACAGAGAGAAAGAATTGAAAAAGAGAGGAAGGCGCCTCTAAGTGCAGTATTGACAATTTATGGAGAGCAATAGATAAATTGCACTTATAAGATAAATAGTTAAAAAGACTCATCGTGTGGTGTAATAAGATCTAGGTGAGACATCCAGCCATCCAGCAGCAAACTCTGTCTATAGGATTAGGAAGTAAAACCCAGGATGTGCCTGTGCATCAAAATGAGGCTTGGAGAGCAGAGTCGGATGTAGGAGGTGAAGGGGACGGTAACGTGTTTTGGAGCGTGCTCAGTAGGCTGCTTCAGACCTCATCTGGCACCTTTATCCTACAGGTACAGAGGTTGGGCTCTGACAAGGGCACCCTATATAATATGCAGAGATAAAGAATTGGAGGAGGAAGGAAAGATGGAAAGAGAGAAAAAAAGAGAGAGAAAGGTAAGGAAGGAAGGGGAGACAGAGGGAGGGAAGGGAAGACAGAAATAAAGAAGTGAAAGAGAGAGGGAAGGAAGGGAAGACAGAGATAAAGGAGGGAAAGAAAAGGAAGGAAGGGGAGACAGAAAGTAAGGAAGGAAGGAAAGAGAAGATAGAGAGAGAAAGAAAGAAAATGAGAGAAAATGCCCTCTGACTGTCCTATGAGGCTGCACAACCCCTGACCTGACCAGGCCTGGACTGTGACAAAAAATAGGCCTGGGCATTTTAGACTGAGCAGCTCCAAACCCAGGGACCCTTTCCTTGGAGCCTGGTGGTGGAACACCAGGGCCCGGTTGCAAGAGCGACCCCTCTGACCCTTGTGGTACCGCCACCAGTGTCCAAAGGAAGAAACGAAAGACAGAGAGGAAGAGAAGGAAAGAAAGAGACAAAAGAAGGAAGGAAGGAACGAGAGACAGAAAGAGAGAAAGAAGGAAAGAGAGAAAAAAGAGAGAACCAAAGAGAAGACAGAGCGAGAGAAAGAAGGAGAAAAAGAACGATGGAAAGAGAGAAAAAGAGAAAGAAAGGAAGGGGAGACCGAGAGAGAAAGAAGGAAAGAAAGAAGACAAAGAGAAAGAATTCGAGAAAGGAGAAAGAAGGAAGCACAGAGAGAGAGAAAAAAAAGAGCGGAAGAAAGGAAGAGGAGAAAGAGAAGACAGAGAGAAAAAAGGAGAAAGCGAGAAGGAAGGAAAGAGAGAGAAAGGAGGGAGAGAGAGAGAAAGAAGGAAAGGAAGAAAAGAAAGAGAAGACATAGTGAGAGAGAAATAGAGAAAGGAGAGAGTGAGAAATAAGGAAAGAAAGGGACGGAAAGAAAAGGAAAACGAGAGAACGAAGAGAGAGAGAAAGAATTAGAGAAGGAAGGAAAGAAAGAGAGAAGACACAAGACTGCCGGGGAGTGTGGTTGGGGCAGACACAGCAGGAGAGGGTGGGAGAAAGAGGGGTAGAACCAGCTTTCTCTCTTTTATTTCTCTTGCTCTGTGCTGACAGCACTAGGGACAGGCTATCCTGACAGATCCTCCGCAGCAGCTGCAGGGAAGGGGGAGCCAGCCATGGGGGGAGCATACAGGAGCCAATGACATCAGGAGATGAGGGGGGTGGGCCATGGGGGAAGCATACAGGAGCCCACGGCAGCAGGGGATGATAGGAGGGGCAGCAAATAGAGGAACAAGACCATGCATTTGTCTCCTGCTGCCAGCAGCTGAGAAGCAGACATTCAGTGACAGAAGGAGAGAAATGCTTGGTCCTGTTCCTTTATGTGACGCCCCCCCACATCCAGGCTGCCCTGGCCCACCGGGTTGCATGTGGCCAGTCTAGGCCTGCCCCTGACCCTGTCTGGACGGTGCTGATTGGCCTTGTGCTGGTCACATGCACTCTACCAAGAAAGAAAACTCTCTAGCAATACACAACAAATTGAGCATGTGCAGCTTGCCCCCAAGGCTCTGTTCTATCAGGAGATGGATTGGGGACAGTAGAAGAAGGGGAGGATCAGAGAAGACAGGATCAAACGGCCATTTTACACAATGTGGAGGATTAACCCCTTCGGTTCCACAGGGAGTATAACAAGCATGTTTTACTGCATATACAGACTGATTTTACTCTTGTGGGTTTAGTACCACTTTAAGACTTACTGTTGTTTGGCAATGAATCTAACAGTGTTTTACACTGCTATGGATATAGTGTGGCATCTGGAAAGAAGCTGCCTTAAAATGAGACTACTTCAATATTAGAGTTTTTAAACCAGACATTCTTCTATCTAAATATACTTTTTTTCTGATACATAGACATTGTTTTGTCTTGTGCGTTACTTAATGTTTATATTGCAGCTATTGTGCTCTTTATCACAAACATTGTTCATTTTTCCAGCTAGGTGAGCAACAGATGCTACATTTTTTTTTTTTAAGGACTGTAACCATGGACAGTCATTTTACAGGCCACCATATTTAGAAACTTACCAATTTGTTTTCTGTGAGATGCATTAAACTGAATACATGTGATTATTTAAAAAAAGACTAAAGTAATCGTGTTAGATAGTGAACAGCATAAGGCTGGCCATACACTATACAATTTTATGTTCAATTTCTGCCCAATTTCCATTAGATTTACCTTCAACTATGTAGTGCAAGGGCCTGCCTAATTGGATACAATTGAACGTGTTGATTACTTTTGATCTCTTATGTTATGGTTTTTGGTAAATCTAAGGCAAAATTCTCAAGAAGATTGTATAATGTATGGCCAACCTAAGCCATCAGCACATCATTTTTTCTAGTGTACTACCACAGCCCTCCCAGACCAGCATAGACTTACTATAATCATAGACATATCCCTGTCCTTTCATGTGACAGTCCTCAGGCCTGCAGGTGGGGTCAATCAAGTGATGGACATTGTATTGTGAACAGAGGCAGCAGCGAGTGTACCTGTAGAGAAACTTTAGGGTAGCCTGGAGGAATATAGCCTAATAATGTGTGGACAGTTTAAAGGTATAAAGTTTTTTGTAATACTGCTACTTTGCTTGTTTTAACTACTCGCATATTTGCTTCATACAGTTCCCAAATGTTGGTTCATGCTGATGCATAGTTTGTGTAGGTTATGGTCACTGAGTTTTAACAGTAACCTATTATTTACATACAATAATGCAGATTTGTGGGTTCTGATGTATTAAAGGCCCAGGGCTACAGAACAAAAAGTAAAGCTGAACCTTAAGAATCAATAAACCATTAAATCATTGTACAAGTGTTTTTGGCTTCTACAGCATTTAAGCTTTCTACATATCTTGCCTCGGATTGAAATATCTGCCGCATTATCCCTACCATGTTAAGATTTGCAGGCGGTGGATTATCATCCAGTCCAGTATTTCAAATCCTTTGGTGGTACACCATCTTCTGCAGCTCTTCAGGGATCTCCTATGTCCTCACAGCTTGCAATGCTGAGTTTAACTATACCCTGTTCTCTTTTCTTTTTCTTTCTTTTTCTTTACCCTGTTCTCTTGCCATCTTTGTTTTCTTAAACATTCACCTTTTCTTTTTGCTTTTGTTTTTTTTTATCCTTTTCACTATTTATTCATGCTTATCAGCCATCTGGCCGTGATATCACAGAGAATTGTTGTTCAGGGATGTGCAAAGATCCAGCCCAAAGTCCCAAAACAGATCAACGAAGAACAGTCCCTTTGCAGGAACTAAGAGCTCAGTTTTTCCTTTCATAAGAAGGGTAGCAGGGTTAATTAGTAAAGTTACTCTGCAGACTACACATTGTTTTTTTGTTTAAATGGATTCACCACCACCACTTAAACTTTAGTGTTAAAGAGCTACAGTGCCTTGAAGAAGTATTCATACCCCTTGAAATTTTCCACATTTTGTCATGTTACAACCAAAAAGATAAATCTATTTTATTGGGATTTTATGTGATAGACCAGCACAAAGTGGCATATAATTGTGAAGTGGAAGGAAAATGATATATGGTTTTCAAATTTTTTTACAAATATCTGGAAAGTGTGCATTTGTATTGGCCCCCTGAGTCAATACTTTGTAGAACCAACTTTTGCTGCAATTACAGCTGCAAGTCTTTTTGGGGATGTCTCTACCAGCTTTGCACATCTAGAGAGTGAAATGTTTGCCCATTCTAATTTGCAAAATAGCTCAAGCTCTGTCAGATTGGATGGAGAGCATCTGTGAACATCGGTTTTCACATCTTGCCACAGATTGTCAGTTGGATTTAGGTCTGCACTTTGACTGGGCCATTCCAGCACATGAATATGCTTTGATCTAAACCATTCCATTGTAGCTCAGGCTGTATGTTTAAGGTCCTTGTCCTGCTGGAAGGTGAACGTCCACCCCAGTCTCAAGTCTTTTGCAGACTGAAACAGGTTTTCTTCTAAGATTGCCTTGTATTTGGCTCCATCCTTCTTCCCATCAACTCTGACCAGTTTCCCTGTCCCTGCTGAAAAAAAAAGCATCCCCACAATATGATGCTGCCACCACCATGTTTCACGGCGGGGATGGTGTGTTCAGGGTGATATGCAGTGTTAGTTTTCCTTTTTTTTTTTTTTTTTTTTTTTTTTTTAGGTCAAAAAGTTACATTTTGGTCTCATCTGACCAGAGCACCTTCTTCCACATGTTTGCTGTTTCCCCCACATGGCTTCCCACAAACTGCAAATGGGACTTCTTATGACTTTCTTTCAACAATGGCTTTCTTCTTGCCACTCTTCCATAAAGGCCAGATTTATGGAGTTCACAACTGATAGTTGGCCTGTGGACAGATTCTCCCACCTGAGCTGAGGATCTCTGCAGTTCCTACAAAGTTACCATGGGCCTCTTGGCTGCTTCTCTGATTAATGCTCTGCTTTCCCAGCCTGTCAGTTTAGTTGGATGGTCATGTCTTGGTAGTTTTGCAGTTGTGCCATACTCTGTGTTCCTTGGCCTTCATGATGCTGTTTGTTCCCTAATGTTCTCTAATTAACCTCTGAGGGCTTCACAGAACAGCTGTGTTTTATTCTGAGATTAAATTACACACAGGTGAACTCTATTTTCTAATGAAGTGACTTCTAAAGGCAATTGGTTCCTCTAGATTTTAGTTAGGTGTATCAGAGTAAAGAGGGCTGAATACAAATCTATGCCACAGTTTTCAGATATTTATTTGTAAAAAATATTGAAAACCGTTTATCATTTTCCTTCCACTTCACAATTATGTGCTACTTTGTGTTGGTCTATCACATAAAATCCACAAAAAAAATTTACATTTTTGGTTGTAATATGACAAAATGTGGAAATGTCAAGGGGTATGAATACTTTTTCAAGGCACTGCAAGTACAGAAATACTCTGCCTATGATAATGTTCATCTCAGTTCACTGCATTGTAAACAATGCTCAACAACTCATTGGTTTCTTGGTAACTTATAGATTGATTTCCTGCAGTATAGGTGAACATCACAAAGGATCCCAAATGTTAGTTACTAGCTAGGACATCTTCTATTGCCTTCACTTTATTGTATTTATTTAACAGGGTTTAGCAAACATCATGTGCAAAGTTAGAAGAGCATTGCTTAATATGCTGCTAAACCCTCATGCAATGAAGGTGAAACTAGAACTATATAGGCAAGTCCCATCTGTAGGCTTTTTATCCCATGTGTCTTTAACTTGAATGATCACGGTAATGCTTCAAGCTGCCATCAGTAAATACTGTATCCACAAGCCACATTCACTGCCATTACTTGTAGGCCCATTTACTTTTAGGCCCATAAGGGACATATCACTTGAATTCGATACTGCCATTAATGCACCAAGTGAAAACTAGCCCCTTAAATATATCACTGCCTTTGAACTAGTCAGTTGTCATGACACATCCTTTAGAATATGGACAATAGAGCCTAACACTTTCATTGACAAATATTTTACCTTCTGAGAAACACTTTGCACATACCTAAGAAATAAATTTCATATTCCATTTGCCATCAGTTTGTTTTTTTTTTTCGGTTTCACTTGTCTCTTTCTCTTCTGCCGCCCCTCTGCGGACAGACTCAGGGTGAGGCTCCAGGTCAGGGTGAAGACCTTGTAAAACCTTCTGGGAAGGACCATCGGGTAATCCTCCCGAAAGTCTCCATCCCAATGCCGGAGGAGAAGTCTATGGAAAAGTGCCGCCTGCACCTACTTCTACTTCCAAATCCCCGTCTTCCATTTCTGATGTCATTTTTAATCTTTTTAGCAGTGACACTTTGGTGGCTTCTGTTCTTATGAATGATCATTCTTTACGAATACAGCCAGGTTCAGCTTCTGCTTGGCTGTTCAGTGCTTCTCTCTGTGAACTGTACTTTTTAAAGCTGTATAAACATACCTTTACGTATGATGAAGTATCTTCTATGTGGCTTGTTCTCCAGGGTATCAGCCTTTCAACTTTTAGTGTTGTGGTTCTGCTATGAATACACTGCACCTCAGAAATTTGTATTTGTTTGTCTGGTTCTTGCTGAAAGACCAAAAACCTAGGACACATGTTGGCTATACCAAGCAGCTGTGAGTAACATTTATAAAATATTAATATATCCACAGTATATCAGAATTTAAATTGTCTGTGATCATAATACTATTCTGGAAAATCGTGAACTGCATACAGCATATTTATTGAGATATCCAGTCTAAGAACGATGTAGTCAGCCCCTCCTCAGCCTGTCATGGCTAATTTAAAGCAATAGTGAATTCTCACAGAAAATCTTTATAGTGTGAAATACCTCAGGTTCTGCTAGGAAGGAAGTTGTGCAAGAATTTTAAATACTGATTGTGATTGTTTAATATATTTTCTTTATCGTCTATTGAAGGAAATGGGAATTGTAGAAATTTTCAAACGATATGGTTATATTGCTGCCTTCAGGAGTGTAGGAACACTGGCAAACAAAAATGTTAAGCCATTAAGCTTCAGTCCTTTGCTAGTGTCCTAGGTGATTGGATGCCTTTTGCATGCGTCCTGCTGAGAAAAATTCTAACAATTTGTTAGCCTTTTTACTAATTTTTTTTCTGTTTGTCTTCAATGAAGATGCTCAGTACACTGTAGATATTTTTTTTCCATGACTTCAATAAGGAATTTAATAATGTTCCTTGAGGTTGTACCTACACAGTAGCTATCCAGATGAGTGTGTACTTAGCAACAGCGAAGTTGTGGCTCTTTCCAGACCTTTGTGCATTGTTAATTAAGTGCAGGGCGTTCTCCAAGTCCAGAGCCGTGGCACCATCTCTAGTGTGGCCTAGTGTCTGAGGACTCAGAGAGCTCCTTGCAGTTGGTATCATTGGACGACATTTTCAGCCACCACCATTTTAACACCGTAACAGTTGAGGCTAAAGAAACTCAGCGTTGATGCCATCCGTTTGGAGTGTTGTTTTAAAAAAAACACACAGAAGACTCCTGCAATGGGTGACCTCTGTCCATATTGATGCCTATAACCTTTATCCTGGAACCTCTGTTACTATTGCTGCACCATATGAAATGAAGATCTCTCTCTGTGCCCGCAAGACCCTTTATGTGCACCTTGGATTTTTTAACATTTAATGGTGCAGTCTGTGTGCAGAGTCTATAAGCATTTTCCAGTGCCATCCGTAGAGTCTAATTGTGATCCTACTGGGCCTCCATCTCTAAGTGTACCTGAATCCACTATTACCATCTCAGATTGAGTCTATATAGTCTACTCCTGTAGAGCCATTATTTCGGCAAATTCCATATGATCTACAAGGAGTTATTTCTAACCTGATTGATCCAGTGTGTTCTACCATGCATTTGGGGGATTATCATGCTGTCCCAGGCATAGTGTCTTTTAGCACTCCTACGGCTGTAAGGACCTTCCCAATTTATAACATACCTCTAAAAAGGCTGAAAACCCTCTTTGGAGTCATGGGTCCGTGCTGATAGTGTGAAGGAACATTTTTTTTTTTTTTTAGAAGCATCTGAACTTCTGTCTCTCATGAGGGGGATGTCCATTCATAAGCACAGACCACTTTGGTTGCTGGTGTCTGGAATACTGAGAATGCACCTAAAGAACATTTCATTCACACGCCCTTGCCAATGTAATTCCTGATACTACTGGTGATTGCACTGTACACCTGCTTCAATGCAGAAGATCTGTAGATAATGCAGAAGAAACCCCACTTCTGTAATAACTTTTAGACAATACATTTTACTGGGGGCTTGCCCATTCACCATATTGAGTCCCTTGGTAAATTGTCTACTAGCATCTTGGAATGCTATTCACCAGACTCTGACCATGGGAACACTGGTCTCTTCCATCCTTCCTGGGAGGACTCCCCTGATTGATAGTATCCTCTTGCCTACTGTTTCATTCTTGTTTTCTGGAACAATTGCTGAGTTGTCAGGGGATCCTTTGTTGGTTGGTTTTTTTTTATTTCTTTTCACTACATACGAGGTGACCTACTCCTACAATGAACAGTGCTCAGTGAGTCAATCTTGACTACACTGTCTTTCCTGGAATCTACCGTATTTGCCGGCGTATAAGACGACTGGGCGTATAAGACGACCCCCCTACTTTTCCTGCTAAAATTTAGTGTTTGAGCTATACTCGCCGTATAAGACTACCCCTCTTCCAATGCACACCAGTGGCAGGAATAGTGCCCCATCATTGGTATCAGTGGCAGGAATAGTGCCCCATCATTGGTATCAGTGGCAGGAATAGTGCCCCATCATTGGTATCAGTGGGAGGAATCGTGCCCCATCATTGGTATCAGTGGCAGGAATAGTGCCCCATCATTGGTATCAGTGGCAGGAATAGTGCCCCATCATTGGCATTAGTGGCAGGAATAGTGCCCCATCATTAGTATCAATTGGGGGAATAGTGCCCCATCATTGGTATCAGTGGGGGGAATAGTGCCCCATCATTGGTGTCAGTGGGAGGAATGGTGTCCCAACATTGGTGTCAGTGGGAGGGTGTCCTATCATTGTCCCATCATTGGTGTCAGTGGGGGGTGGAATAGTGCCCCATCATTGGTGTCAGTGGGGGGGGGGGGAATAGTGCCCCATCGTTGATGTCAGTGGGGGGGAGGAATAGTGCCCCATCGTTGGTGTCAGTGGGGGGGGGGGGAATAGTGCCCCATCGTTGGTGTCAGTGGGGGGGAGGAATAGTGCCCCATCGTTGGTGTCAGTGGGAGGAATAGTGCCCCATCATTGGTATCAGTGGGAGGAATAGTGCTCCATCATTGGTATCAGTGACACCAATGATGGGGCACTATTCCTCCCACTGACACTTGCTGACCCTGTTCTCGTATGGTGCTGCTGCAGCCAGCATATGTGGTTGCAGCAGCACCTCTACACTGACCACTTACCTGCTGGTCCTGCACTCGATTTTCGCGGGGCCACTCGGCTCCACCCCCTCGCCGGTGATTGGCCGCCTGTGTGCCTTTCCTGAGCTACAGTTCTGGCGGCCAATCACTGGTGAGGAGGCGGAGCCGAGCAGCCGCACGAACATCCAGTGGCCGAACTGAAGGCGCAGCCGCTTCCTGGACCGGATCGTCGTGGGACCGGGACCAGGTAAGAAACAGCCGCTGCCCACCCCTGTACTTAGTGTCCCTTCCATTGGGGGAAGGGGGGGGGCGGCGGCAACGCCCCCCCCCTAAAAAATGTCAGTATGCCGTATACCGGCGTATAAGACGACTCCCGACTTTTGAGAAGATTTTCAAGGGGTAAAAAGTCGTCTTATACGCCGGCAAATACGGTATTTTATTTTTCCAATCTCCTCTTTGGTTATTTTGAACAGTGTGAGTTCTACATAGGTGTATTGCTCAGTGGAATGTCCTGAACAATCTTGGGGGGTCAGCAGGCTAGACATACAATTACTGTATTACAGATCTTTCCTAAAAGGTCCTGAGGTTTTCAAGGGACCTCATCATTAGTAGATGCATCCTTTTCTGGGACTGAGCTACAATTTTCTGAGGAATCCTTCCTATTTTCTTTCAGGTAAATATTCCTAGTGCTAATACTAGAATTATTACCCCTGGCTCCGTGGTACAGGATCTTGTTCTTACAAGGGTAGGTACATTTTCTTATAATCATATATTTTTTGCGTGGTTAGGCAGGCATACAGTGTAGTTACTTCTAAAATACCCAAGGGTTTTGGTTGGAAGGAGTTCTCACTGTTTCAATACTGACATTTTTGTATGCCAGTTTGCATTACGATACACTTTCATCCCTGCCTACTTTTTTATACAGGTTTTGTTGATCACGACAATTGCTCCTGAAGATTTATTCAGGGTTAGCACCCTTCAATTTCTGTCAGCTAAGGGTTCTTTTCATTTACATGTTATGTTGTGTGGGCTCTCACATTCATGGATATCTCCTTTAGAGATTAGTTGTCTGTGAGGTAGCACCCTAGATCTCTGTCTACCTGAAGGCAAAGGTCTGGAGTATTCAACCTAAACTATGACTGTTGACAGATTGGTCTTTTCGACAGATTGTTTTTTTTTTCCCTGGACATGTTCTCATTGTCCGAGCTTTCTTTCCCTGAAGTCAAGGGTTAATTGTAGCTATGATGGGGTTTATTCCTTCCTGCAGTTGTTGAAATGTTTTTTTTCTACTATTGGACATTTTGAAGTATTTTTATTTTTACTCTGGGTCCTGGTCCTGTAAACCTTATGATTTCTTGAGAATTTTAGTTACTGGTTTAGTTTTCTTTCTCTTTTGAGACTGATTGAGACCCATGGCGCTCTTTGGTAGTACTTACTTCCCTTTAGTGGTGTTTATCTGCCCTGGTCTTTAGCACCAGGTTGATTCTTGTTGCCTTTCCCTTGGCCAAGGCAGTTTCAGAAGTGGTTAGCCCTTTTTTTCGTGTATCCTGCTTTCATTCCTTCAGCTACTCTATAGTATGATTTCCACATTTCCATGATTTGTTCCGTCAGCGGCTTTTACCAACCTCTCAGTTTAACTGCTTTTGGACATCCTGACTGTTTAAGAATTTCGACAATTGGATAGATGATAAAGAAAATAAGATTTATGTATTTATAAAAGCTTATATTTGGATTAAACAACTTGTGTTTTAGGTTCTTGGGCCTTTAAATTTGATTTTACATTTTATGTGTGTTTGTATAAACACAGCTAACTGCACTACACTTCTGCATTGCACTGCCTCTAATGTCTCATGCCTTTCCAAAAGCCAAGGAACTCATAAGGACCACTGGAATCTGAGTATTTAGACTTTTCAGCTTCTCTTTTCTTCCTTTTAGTCATCATCATTCTTGTTTGTATGTTT